CACAAATCATCACAAAAAGGTCATCACAGGTATTCCAGGTAAAAAGCTGATCTTTTCCATGAAAGTACAGCGCTATAAAATAAGACCTGTTCCCTAAAGGATTTTTGACATTTTAAGAGTCAAACAAGGAAAGAGAACTCATTTAGTCGATGGAGAACAGCATGCATTCTGATCAAATTTATTCTTGTGTCCAACCTCTTCAAATACTGTCTCAATGTACATAGCATTCTGAACTATTGCTTAAACATCAGCAAAGGTAAAAACAAGCTAAGAATGGTTTGCAGTAGGGTGCAGAGCAGGGACTGAGACGAGGCTTGTTGACTTGAGAGCTTGTCCTCTGGGACCTCATCTTCTCTCTCAGCAGTATAATGACAGCCCTGTGACAATTCCCCGGGGAGGGCTAAAACACTACTCATTAAAGCTCCTATTCTGCCCTCAATGTTCTTAGCAACCATAACTGAAAAAAGGTCCCATTTGATCTTATTTAGCAGATGCACGATTTGAGAAAGAAAAAGACAGCAAGCGAGTAAGACGGAAAGAACCTGAGAAAATGTGTATTTAAACAGAAATTACTTTTTTATCATATATACTAGTAAGGACATTTCTGCCATCTAAAACAAAAGTAAGCTGTTTATTTTCTTTTGGTTTTTGCTAAAGACATGTTTTTCACATGTGGCCCCCACAGACATTCAGATAAAGAGCAGGTTGATAGATGCCATTATTTCTTACATGAAACATAATATGGCAGTGTTTATATCTAGGAAAGATGTTTATTTTGATGGCGTGGACCAGTGAGGACCAATGGAAAATGTTACATAAAAGTCTACATTCTTTTGAGTGATCTAACTAGGATTAATATTCCAAAAATATGGTTGCATATTTTAGGGAAATTCCTTTTGCCCTATTATAACCGTTAACAGTTTACACTATGTGGCGTGCATAGACCTGACAAACAAGCTAAGCACCAATTTAGCTGCCAATTGAAAGTCTCTGAGTGTTTAGGGCATAAAAGAGGATCTGTGCGACTGACGCCTGACAACTGCTGAGCACAGCTGTGCTCCAAATATATTAGACAAATGCATACTTAGCAACATTGAGTTCAATAGAAAAGACAACTAAGAACAATAATACGCTATATAATATTTAACCTCACGTGTTGCATGCAACAATGCAAATAATGCAGTACTAAACCCCATATGTTCCTTTTATAAGGCAAATCTGTTATACAGAGAGGTATATGGAGAAGTCAACAGGTGTTGGAGGAAAAGACATTCCCTTAATCTTTTTTCACAGTTTCTTTCTTTTGAATGACCACTTAATAGTCTACATGCATAAAGTAATACGAAATTCAGGATGCTGTGTCACCTTGTGCATTTGTCTTCAGAGAAAATAAAAAAAATATTGAACACATTCACATGTTTCATTGAAGTGTCATGCACATGAGAGTCAGACATATTTTTTAAATAAATAACTCGTTACCATCCCATAAGAGTAATCACTTAGACAGCAATAATATTAAATGGAGCTCAAACTGAGACTGTGCTTCTCGTTTTTTTTACTGATATCATGTGTCTACTATAAACTTTCAATAGAGAGCTCAACAATGTTCTCAAACTATGCTTTATTAAATTAGACTATCTGCTATCAAAAGTCAAATATAACCGAGAACTCCACTAAAAGTCTCTTGTGCACTGAAAGAGCAACATCTGAGCCACAGTATTCTCAAATAAAATGTATAGCACAAAACAGTTCATATCGTCAAAGAGTACGAGTTTATTTACAGTTGCATAAAATATGTCAGCAAATATATGTGCGACCTTACCTAGTCATTTGTAAATGAACACGAAAAAGTTATCATATATAAAAATATCCCACGAATGGTTTTACTATCCAGACTGTCTTCTCATTGATCTTGTTCTCTCCACGTAACGTATTAATAGTATTTGATATGAAGTATAAGAACAAAAATCTCCACGTTTCTCCTCTTGTTTGCGGCGTGCGGTAACTCATGTGCTGTTCCTTCTAGGCTTCAAACCCATTTAAACAAGACGCAACAGCTAGCCACGCCCCCTCTCTGAAAACCGCCAATCCGATGAGAGAGGGAGAGTTTCACGCGCGGATAAAACAATCCTCCTCAGCAGCCTGGAGAGCAAGTGAAACGCGGACCCACAGCGGCTTGCAAATTAAGGCTTGAATCCCGCCGAAGGAACCCAAAACAAAAGCTTGTGGGTGTCTAAAAGTATGCATTCTTTCAAAAGTATGCATATGTGTCAGCAGAGTTTTTAAACAACCTTTTCACCACAGTGACATTACAAGTTAGTCACAATGAGCTGACAAACACGCCGCGTTCGCCTGAGGAGGTAACCATAGCAACAGTACGATTTTTCTCACTGTCTGACGTTACGTTACTTCGACAAAACATTCGCTCATAATCTGTTTACAAGTCATAAATATAATCGCAACGTGATTTAAAACGACAGTTGGCGACCCGTGTTTGTGAGTGAGGAAAAGTAAAGTACTTTAGTAACTGAAAAGTAAAGTACACTGAATAAAATGGTGTATTTCTCACACTGACCTCAGATATTTAACTACGAGTAACGTTAATACGGCCAAGTGTTAAAGAATGAACATTTCCTGAAACGTCCATTTCCTGAAATAAAATAGAATTTAAAGCTTAGTTTGTGGTTTATGGTAACGTTGCGTATTTCTTCTCAACACGTATACTATAGGAATCACACATTATGTCTCATTTGTTGATAGTGAGTCCAAAGTCAATGTGAATGTCATTTATCAGGCTCCAGACAATTCTTTAAAGATTGAAGATGAAGATATTTTATTTCAATAAACAAATACTGCATAACATAATTTAACGTGAGATACTGTTGTGGCCTTTAGTCTGGGAATATGCCAGTGAAGTAATACGTGCTATTCTGGGTTTTGCTATTATGAAATGTGATCAACAAATAGTATAGGGTCTGTTGTTTGCATTTCCACAGGACTAATTTTAAAGATCATAAAGATAATTTTGTTTGTCTTCCAGCATCTTATATAATGACTGTACATTGTATTGTTGGGAATCAGTAATTCAAGACCATTGTGAACGTTCAATCAGAGGAATGTTTCTCCTTCTCTTTATAAGTGGTCCAATGAAAACCCAGCAGTAAGTGTTCCACAGGCCTTTGCCCTTCCTGGCTGCTGCGTGTCACACACTGCTTACTTATCATAACTAATGAGCCGTGTTAAACTTTTATTTGTGAAGCTGTTGCAGAGTGCTTATTTTAGTTACTTTCTTGTTCAAGTCTATAAATAATACAGACTATTTATAGGCGAAACGTGGTGCATGAGCTGTCAGGCCTCTGTTTACCTTTCAGCCTAATTTGAGGCAATGCTTGGACAGCACTGCATCTAACCACAAGGTGGAGGGCTGGAGACTTCACTTTCCCAGGAAAACCTCCTGGGACCCAGCAGTTTTATTCACTGTAGTAGACATATGTTTTTTGTTAATATCTCTGAGACCATACATGCCACTGTTTTGAGTCCTGGTCTGTTTTGAAGAGGACATCCTGAACTTTTTTTGTCATGCCAAATTACAGGTGCATCTCAATAAATTAGAATGTTGTGGAAAAGTTAATTTTGCAACCAACCGAGAGAACTCCTTATGAGGATTGTCAAGCAAAATCGATTCAAGAAATTTGAGTGAACTTCACAAGGAATGGACTGAGGCTGGGGTCAAGGCATCAAGAGCCACCACACACAGACGTGTCAAGGAAGTTGGCTGCAATTGTCATATTCCTCTTGTTAAGCCACTCCTGAACAAAAGACAACATCAGAGGCGTCTTACCTGGGCTAAATAGAAGAAGAACTGGACTGTTGCCCAGTGGTCCAAAGTGCTAAGAACCAAAGACTTAAACTACTTCAGTCTGTGTGCATTGAATTTATTTAATACACGAGTTTAACAATTTGAGTTGAATTACTGAAATTAACTAATTTATTGAGATGCACCTGTATTGGATGTGGTCAAGGGGATAACATCAGTGTATGGTTTAACAATTTTAAAATGTGATTTTTATATGTGTGTATATATGTATCAAATAAACATTTATAAAAAATTCTCTAAAAAAAATAATTGTATATATATATATATATATATACAAACTGTTTAATATATTATATCATAAGTATTAAAATGTATAAATTTATATTAAAATATGATGTCCAATATTTTAGAATTGTTTGGTTGCAGGCGGAGAGGTCTTTTAACAGTCATACATTGCACAATGAAATCTAAACTTTCATTTATCAACCATTAGATTGTCCTTAAGGGAATTGGATGCATGCTGTGTAAATATTGAAAATTGCCACTGGAGCTCTGTTTCCAAAATATTTTATTAGTTTTTTGGACGGTAAGGTTAACCACTCTGCACAATAAGGTGGAACAGTGTTCTGCACTTACTCAGCTAATGCCAAAGAGACACACTGACTGACAGTTTGGTCCGGTTAACGTCACTGTCATTATAATTGATCCATTGCCTCTTAAGTAGGTTGAAGGTTTGGGTTCATAATTTAATCAAGGAGGTCCTTTTTTACATCTCGGGATATCAAAGAACCTTCAAGGTCATTGAAGAAGAGTCTGTAATGTCCATCAAATCTGTGACATCAGTGATAAAGTGATACTTAGTTTGTGCAAGGCTGCTTAATGCCACATAGATATACATAAAAAAAATAAAATACTAATTAAACTAAACTTTTATATTATTTTGAATTTAGTGCTCTAACTGGATTCTCATCAAAGCCAAAATGCCTACAGGGCTTTAATGTGATATTCCAGTACTAGTCCAGGATACTGTCTGTGTTAGAAGGGATTTTTAAGATCTTCCTGTTAACTGACAGCACACCTTTATGTCTAAATCTAACTATAAGTGCGCTAGGCTATTTCTTATAGTGATGCCCTTTGAGGAAGCCTGATTTCAAAGTGCTATAGCAGAGTCAGGATGTATCAAGTCTACGGTTATAGCTCGTGTTCTTGGACAGCACTGCTGGTGGATGCTTTTTCTGCCTCAAGACTATTCTCATTAACCAATTCCACAGCTGCCGTTGGAGAACTTATGTGGAGTGGTTTGTGTTTTGGCTGTTGAGAGCACATCTTTAGGTCATACTCCTCTGCGCTTAATTCTGGGACCAGGACTTTAACTGTGTGGTTGAACAGGGCGTAGTCCACTCTGTAGTTCCTGCGGGAAACCCTGATCATCTCCTGAAAGTGCTGGCCCCACAGAATCTCACTTGGAGTATAGGATGTGCGTGTCTGGTGAAGGATGCCCGTGCAGTCGTCTGTATAGGTGAAAGAGACCACCAGCTCAAAGTTCTCCTTCCTCAGGTCCTTCAAGCTCACCTTGTATAGAGGACTACCAGGGCTGATTTTATGAACTATGGTTGTTGGGGTGGCCAGGACGATGTTGTTCTCTTCAATGTTGAGGTCTTTGTGTGTAACGTTAACTTTTCCTGTGCTGTGTGCCAGGTGCCGTACCAGCTGTGCATGTGCTGTACCTTCTACCATGTGGTTCCTTCGGAAGTCCCCGACCCGCCACGACAGGCATAGGTGACCGTCACGTAAGCTGATCAGGGCACAGTTGCTGAATCCAACCGTTTGGGCTCTCTTACGGGCAGATGCCATCTTGGCGACTGCGATGCCGATGACAAAAGTGTCAATGAAGACACTGATGACATCTTGGATGGTAACTACGATGATGGCGATCATGCAGTTCTCAGACATCCCCCGAAAGCCATAACCAATGGTGGTCTGGGTCTCTAATGAGAATAGAAATGCAGCTGTAAAACTTCGAACCTCATAAACACATGGCTCTTTGTTGGGGTCTTTCATATCGCCGTGGGTCAATGCAATGATCCAGAACAAAATTCCAAAAAAGAGCCATGATAAAATGTAGGAGAGGGCAAATGTCAAGAACATGACCCTCCAGCGGATCTCCACCAGGGTGGTGAAGATGTCAGTGATCCAGAGAAGCCACTCCTCTGGAACGTGCTGCACAACCATGTTACAGCTCCCATCTTTTTTCACGTATCTTTTCTTCTTGGAGTTATACTCGTCGTCTGTAAGCACACTAGGATTTTCGTCACTGCACTTCACTCCGGAATACTGTACTGTGCCCGAGTTCATGCTGCCTCAGTCTAGAGAAGAGATAAATGCACAGTCAGATTCAAAGGTACCTGTAATACAGCACTTAATTTTACACATACATGCACTGTTGCATCTTGAATAGACAGACAGATTTTTACATCCATGCAAAAAAAAAAAACTTCTTGAACATGGGATCAGTTTCATTTACAGCCAACTCGAGGGACTAGATGTCTACACAGTTATAGAACAGATTTGACAGATGCCGGTTAAATGATTTTTGTGGCTGACCAGAGAAATGGTGAGCAACAAACACATTTTTTGTCATAAGATCATGAGAAAACAACTTTTGTTATGCTGAGAAAATAAGACAGAAAAAAATAAAGCATGGACCCTCAGGGTGTCCATAAATCTTATCACAAACGATAAATCAATATACAAGGACATTAAGGATATTGACAGAAATCTTAATGATGCCTTTGGAGGATTTGTCAGTACTGGAGATGTATGATACGTCTTACAGTGCTTACACAAAACACAGAACAAAAACATGGTTTGATGGTTGCTGGGTGCACTTGGTGAACTGTTTCTTTGCAGAGTTTTATTTACGCTGTTATGGTGGCATTTGTATTGTAATGTTGTATTCCATGTACGTTCAGGGAAATCCAAATTGCGTATGCAACTGACAGTTCAAGGGATTTTGGTTAAAAAATATCTATCAGAAGTCCTTTTATACATAGATATTTATTTAGATATATATTTTGTGAAATAGCTTAATTTTTCAAGTGGCTTAATAAAAAAGGAAGGTTGGCTTTTTTTGTTTGTTTTGGTTTATCAGTAAACACTGCATCATATTATCTTGTAAAGTGTGGCTTGAATTGGTTGTTCTTGTTGATATAAGAAGTAAAACGTCTTACCCGCAGTGTGGTATTGTGTTTTAGTACATTGCTGCTAAATGTAGTAATTGCAAACCTTTACGAGAACATATTTTGTAAACACTACCATACTTTGCCTCTTGGTCATAAGCACCACGGGTTGTGTTAGGGCCAACTTTAAGGCTGGGTGGTGATGTGTGGAACAAGAAAAGTGTTGCGGTCAGTGGCTTGGCCATTTTATGGAGATGACTTAACACAAGCTTGACTTGGGGACACCATATGGAATGCTGGACCAGAACAGAGACCGGATCTTTTGACATAATCCACATTGTGCCCTGCTTAAGAGTCTAAAGTCCGGGTGTCAGAAGGAGAAGGGAAAGGAAGAATCTCACTGAGAGATAAAATCTGGCTTTGTGGCTGAGACCTGGTGTTAAATACATACAGTAGGCCTATTACATGTATATAGTTCTATAGGACAACAGCTGACTTACCCTCTCAAGTCAAGACGTGTTACTATATTTTCCCTGTAATAAAATGCTAGCTATAACTTAAAATGCTTGCACAGAATTTAGTTATGCAAACAGATGTTCTGGAACAGGTCTAGACACTTCATGGCCCGTGTATAAAGGTAGACTGTTCTGTCTGTTTTTGAACATCATTTCTGTTTGCGCCCTCTGATTGGCCATTGCGTTCCAGAAATCAACAGCTGAGTCTGTGATTGGCTACATTGTGTAACCCTTTAAACACATGTTATAAATAGAAACTGCCTAGCTTGCGCGTTAATCATTTTAATGTTATTAGCTGTTCTTTTTGCTTTTGTGCAACACATAAATAACAATTTATATATTTTAGACATTTTATGTTTAGATAATTTCTATTTTGCAGGAGTCCCGTGAATCATATTATTCTCCCGCATCCCGCACACACACAAGTCTCTTTCCGCCCGCACTCGCCCTCGCCCATCAAGAGTTGTCCAGCACCGCACCCTGTTGTGTTGGGTCCCGCGGGTGCAGGTCTGGTCAAACCGTGTTTAATCAGCGAAATGATCGATGATTAGTCGATTAATCAGTCTAATAATCGTTAGGTTAATCGATTATCAAAATAATCGTTTGTTGCATATTTGCTGGTAATGATGACCAAACTAACTTTGCCCATGGTAAAAAAAAAAAACACACACAACCACATGCTTTCTCACAGACATTCTCCGCTTAACCACATAGACGCACAAAAATTATGAAGTTTTCCACACCACCATGATAGCAACGTCTTATAATTACTCCTCACGCACTTCATGTTCCTTGTCTTAGCATGTATTCCTGGCGTCTTTGATTTAAATTTGTCCCTGTCCTTTATCAAAGGATTTACTTCCAGCTGAGCACTGGAAACATAGCCTCCATCCAAGAACACCGCATAAATGGAGTGTTTTTCAGTGTTAAGGGAACACACTATTTTAGATGAGGAATTCAGTTTCCACTGTCACTTTCCTGTGTGGTGTGTACATTTCCAAGTATAAAACAAATGAATGAAATGCTGGCATGTTCCCTTGAAAGTATTGTTGTCTGGGGGCCATGTGACCTTCAACTCAACAGGCACTGGCTTTTGCATTTTCTTGCTACTTTTTAATTTGCATTTACCGTCAGTGAAAAATGGAATTATCTTACTTTTGTTTGTCTCTGTTACTTGTCTATGGACACGAACCAACGAATAGGCCATACTGTGGAAATAATAGAAAGTAATAGAAAGAAGAAGAGAGAAATTGTTCTATATTTTTTCCAGTGGTTGATTTTTTTTGTTAGAACTTTATTCATGTGTTTCATCAGAATTTTTTTCGGATGTTGGTTTGACTGGTACTTTTTGGCTTCCCAGTTCTATTTTAAGATGGCAATCTGGGAATGTTTATCATTGGTAAAAAAAAATTTCAGAGTTCCATTTGCCCAGTGTCAATACAGTTTATCATAATAGATTGGTTGCCTGGAGATGCAATCCTCATTGCAACAAACCATTGTAATCTTTCCAGTTTGTGGGATTCTTAGAAACGTAACCGCATTGTGTAGCAGTTGTGCATAGAGAAATCTAATATCTTAAATTCTCGGTTGCCTTTTTTAGTTCCTTTCTTTTGATAAGTTTGGCTTTGGTTTGCTGAGTAATTCTTACATGTGCTTATACGAAATTTACTGTAAATTCTGAGTGTAATTTAAATCCTGTGCTGTTCATTCATCATTAGCTGTGTTGTCTCACCTCCACTAATTTTGTGATTTGCTACTGTGAAGCTTTCAAAAAGACTCTTCAGAAAGAGATTCTTCAGGGGTGTAGAAATGTACATTTAAATTGACATTAAATAATTTCAAATTAAAGAATTTTGCATGTTATTCAAAACAAAATTTTTTGTGTTATTATATCAAAATGTAATAATCTGCTTTGCCACAACTTTCCTTTTCAGCTGATGTCCCCAGTACCTCTTATTTCAATCCTTGACCTCCAACCACCTCCGTTCTGGTATGTACTGTAACATCCACTTTTCATGATATAATCCATTCCTGATGGATAACATAAAGTCTTGCCCTACAAGTTTTGTCTTGATGAATATCCACTTTCACAAATACTTTATATTACAGAAGTACAAGGGGTTTTTATGGCGCTTCACATTGCCAACATTCAGCTTTTAAGTTTTAGGAATGTAATTTGTTTTCTGTCAGTTTTCTGTGGTTCCAGCTAATATTTACGTTTTGGTCAAATTGACTCCTCTTTATGGAATAGCTCACCCAAAACTAGTTGTTGAATAACAAAAATTTACATTTTGGCACATTTCTCACACAACGCTATGATATGATTTAAAGGTACAATATGTAAGTTTTCACCGCTAGAGGGTGTGTATTCAAAACAAATAAAGAAACAAAGGCGTAGTAGTTTGATGACGCCGTGACTGAGTGTGGAATCATGGGAGTTGTCGTCTTCATCCCCACAGCCGACTCAATCCGATGGGACTCAGGCAGAAATCATGCTCATGGATGAGCTAATGTATTAAAGATTTATTAACATCGCAGTATGAAGCAGAGTGAGGCGGAAAGCCGTCGAAGCGAAACGAGGCCGCTGAAGCAATTGCTAATGAGAGACGAGAGTGACACATGGCTCAAAAGCAGTGGAGCTTTTATTATGCCACACTTTAGAGCTTCTGCTCCTTCCGGTCGTGCGTATGTGGGGTAAAGCAGCGCTGTTTTATCATACTAGATACGTTTGAAAGTTCTGTTATAATGCTACTCTGTGCGGTCGTCACCTGTCTAATAAAACTCACAACATATTAAAGCGTCTTTGGTGTTTCCATGTTTTCTACAAAACAAAACCGGAAATCGAGGGTGTATGACGTCATTGGCAGGCGACACAATGACACTATAAATACGGTCCGTGTCACTAGTTGAAATTGCTTATTTCTCTGGATTTAAACATTCTTTGAAACATTTGAGATAATGTAAGTACACAAGTCAGCAAAATATATAACACCGTTCTAGTAGTTTTTGGATATTTTAATAAAAAAATCTTACATATTGCACCTTTAAGAAAATTAGGAATATAGTGCTTGTATAGACTACTTTTATGATACTTCCATGGTGTTTGTGCATCCTTTTTGAAGTTTTAAAGCTTGAGACCAACTTTATTGTAATTAAATCAGTGACTAGGATATTATTCAGAATTTCTCTATTTGTTTCACAATTGTAGCAAAGTCATATGGGTTCGGACCAACATGAGGATAAGTAAATGACCACAGAATGTTCATTTTTAGTAAAGTATTACTTAAATGATCTTTGTTCTTCAGAAAACATTAGCTGATTTCCGCACTGATAAAAGAGCTCTGTTTTCTTACTGCAGGGTGAGTGGCTCAGCCAGGATAGCAAGTAGCTGTTATCTGGTTGGAGTCCTGTGCTTTCTCCATTAACCATTAAAGGAAGCATCTCTGAACTGCAACGCCCTGAGAAGGTAAATGAAAAGGGAATGGAAGCTTCCCATCGGGAGAACCTTTGACAGTAGACTAATCTATTATGGCCAGACCACTGTAAGCATCTTCTCCACTTATTGCTACCCCCACCCAGCCATACTGGGCTGCAGGTTCCACTAAGCTAACTGGCTGAACTGGTGTCCATTTCCTCTGGACACAGAGCCATGCATGTTTTA